TATATAAAACAGAATGCTTAAACAAATGGAGAAACGTATCTTGGTCCTGATTACTTTTTAGAAGCTATGAGTGTAATTTTGATATCAAAAGGGCAAGAAATGAAAGATAAAATCACAAATCACTCTAACTTTTAAAATGCAAAATTCCTGAATAAAATCCTTGTAAACTGATGTAAAGTATTTGTTTAAAAAATAATACACGACACCAAGTCAAGTTTATCAAACCATTTGATAGAAACCAACTTTATTAATCCACTGTAACCTACAGACTTCCCCAATTTCAATCAACATCCTAATTGGTATTCTACTAACAATTATGTACTTACTCAACTTCAAAGCATTCTAATATGGTGTTTTCGAAACTGTAAAATGTAAATCAAACTTCATTTGAAAGAACAAATTAATAAATGTGGCTAACTCTCCATTCCACCCCGCTCCCACCACTATCACTACTTTGATTTGACTCTCATCTCTCCTTTCCTAGATTACTGGACAAACCTCTTAACTGAGTTCCTGGCCCAGTGTCGGGGAGGAGGTTTTCAACTTAAAATCGGCACTCTTTTTAGCACGCACAGCCTTTTAAAGTCCCTGCCCTGGCTTCTTATCTCATCCTCTTCCTTCCTTTTTTTCCACTTATATCACTAATAGAAGTTCCTAGAATGAATGAAGCAGCAGTCTGGCCTTGAGTACCTTAGCACCTGTATCTTGCCTTTCTGAAAAGCCCATCTTCCCATTCTATTTCTTCAAAACTCGAAGTTCTTCTTCTTCCAGAAAGCCTTTTGTGACTTCCTCTGGTCTTACTTGTAGCCCTAGTCAAGATTTTCATACTACAGTCAGCACCCTGCTGCAAAGGCTTGCCTCATGCCATTCTATAATCAGTGCTTTAACAGTCTGTTCACTCCTCTTAGAACAGAAGCAGCCAGACAACTGAGGAGATGATTAGGTGAGAAGTAATGGAGGGACTATGAGAAAACTTAAGAGGAACAGAAGGCATCTAAGAGAAAACTTCAACCTTGAGGTAATGAAGAAGACAGCCAAAATGTCCGTCCTAGAGCTAAAGGAGGCCATTTAGAAATTTAGAATAAGTAAAAAGGACTTTACTTCTTCCATCAGTCAAAGTACCAAACCCTAAAGAGGAACAGACAGAATGGCATTTGCCCTTGCTGGTTCTTACCCTTCTTCTAGGGATGGGAAGAGTTTAGGTCTAGTTATTGAGAAAAGAGTTCACCAAGAGTAAAAGAGATATAGTAAGCAGAGAAAGAAAAAGGAAACGTTTGCCAACTCAGAATCCAGAATCTGAGATGTTAATGGCTTATAAGGAATAAGAGCTTCAGGAAGAAAAATAAGAGTAGTAAGAATCCCATAGTCTCCATGCTCCAGGCCCTGTTCCCATGATCTCCTTAAGAAATGGAAGAAAGGGCAGCAGTAAATATCATGTATTCTTACCTGTTACTACTTAATTCTAGAGGACAGTATCTAGAACATTGAGAGAGTGCATGCATAAAAGTGTCAAGGCTAATGGAATGACTTTGGGAACTGGGCAAAAGCTATCAGGAACCAGTTCTATCACCCCAGAAAAGGCAAAGATAAGGGAAACTTGGTTTTAGACATCTTGTCACACAATAAAAGTAGTGGCAGAAGGAGGCAATTCCCATTTTCATGTCATCTGACCTTGTATCAAAAAAGAGGAAAAAGTCTACCATAATCTTCATTCATTCAAACACTATTTCACTCTATAAACAAACGTGGGTAAAGACTACATTAGACAGTTGGCAGAGCCAGCGAGGACACACGTGCTCCCTGGCCCACAGAGCATACAACCTCATGAGAAGGTAGGAAATAGTAAGTCCTATGAATGGAGAGAAGCCCCATATCAGGAAAGGTGGCCAAAAGGACAGGATAACCCAGGTGAAACTCAAATGAGAAACCGGCTACCCGAAACAAATATTCTAGACAATGCGAAGGCATGTACAAAGGCTAGGAGGTAAAACAGTCTGGCACATTTTAAGGAAACAAAGATTCGGAAAAGCTGGTGAAAAAAATGCTTGAAGGAAAGGGGAAGAGGAGACGCTGTGCAAAGACAGATGGCATCAGAGAGGACAGTGGCACCAGACCATCCAGGGTCTTATAAACAACATTTGGGGGGTTAACCTTTATTTTAAAACATTAAAAAGAAGCCACGGAAGGGTTTTAAGCAAATAAATGATTTGGCCAGACTTGTGTTTTTCTGAAGGCACTCCGGCTGGTATGAGAAGTGAATTAAAGAAAAGTAACCTGAAAAGGAGGAGACCAGTTAGGAAATTTGTAAAGCCAATCAGATGAACAATGACCACCAAAATTTTCAAAAGGCAAAAAACAAAGGAAAATACTTAAGTATGAAGACCTTTGTACTGAAAGTCTGGAAAAGAATTTTTTAGAAACAGCTACCACACTGTTGTAGCCTATGATTAAATCTATACCTTCATCTGCCCTACTATCCTTTATCCAATATTGGTTCCAACCTCTTTTGTGAGAAATAAACCCTATATCCAGCTGTGTCAACCAGCTGTCCAACACAGTAGTCACTGGCACATGTGGTTAAACTAAAATATATTTTACAATTTATTCTTCAGTAGCAATAGCTAATTTTCAAGTGTACAACAGTAGAGGTGGCTAGTGGCTACTCAATGTCCAGCGTAGATATAAATATTTCCATCACCACAGAAAGGTCTACTGGACAGTGCTGCGCTACAGATATACCTAAATTTGCCACTTCACTAGGAAGGCCTACTTAAAACAACACTGAAGGCACCTGTGCCTTCACGCACTGTCTCATGCCCCTCTTTGCATATTAATAAGCCCTCACAGTGCAGTGAAGAATCATGGTGTACGAACCACAAGACAGGCTCTGTGTTTTGGCTCATTAATCCTCACTGTGCTCTGAAGAAATAGAAACGCAGCAGGTGTCACCCATGTTTTATAGGTGAGGACACCAAGGCACAGAAATTAACCTGCCTCAAGCTATAAAGTCAATAATGGAGTCACAAATAACAGCTAGATTCCCTAACGCCCTGACCAGTGCTCCATTCATTAAAGTAGTCATGGCTGATTTAAGAACCCTAGAATGAAAACTAAACAGTTTCACTTGACCTAGGCAATTATTTGCTTTACCAAATGGCTTGCGGTCATATCTGCTAGGTCCTTATAAAGAAATAGTTTTCTCTGTTAGGCCCATGTATATAGACACACACACACACACACACACACACACACACAAACATACACACACAAGAATATATATATACATTCCCTGAATTTGCACCAATTATCTTATAACCTGTGATCAGAGATAAAAGAAATTAGACACATTTACTGAAACTAACAGCACCAAGGTATGGTACATTCTTACATTATTACTTTGGTTTTCAATTATGTTAAATGGTTAATATGTTAAATAAAGATTACAACCTAGAAGCTCTGCATTTTATAACTCATTTACATCTGTTACCATTGAAAGCCTGATTTTTGTGTGCTCTTTTTTAATCTATAGAAGCAACAAGAGCACAGAAAGGCAATGCCTGCATTTTCATTTCAAATGAAATGAAATTAATTAAGTGAAAAGAATAAACTTAATTAACTGAAAAGAATAAAATAATACATAGGGAGACATGAACCAAGTTACAGATTAAAGATACAAAATCTACATACAGCATTTACTTGTGACACTCTTGACAACAGCAATTTTAGAACCCACCTGCTGGCATTCACTAATGCATCTCTGTGTCCTGCCACAAAAAGTTTACCCAGAACTGCATGTGAATGATGTGAAAAATCTAAGAAATAATTCAACTGCCCTTGCCCAATATTAAATTTTTATATGCTTTACCTGTTATTACACACACAGAAAAATAAGATGGGAATGAAATATTTAAAATAATTCCAAACTATTAGGAAGCATACAAAATAATTATTTCTACAATAATTAGTTATTAAAGAATAAATCAATCTATAGAATATAAACACTAAGTGAATTTTCCCAGTAAATGAAAGCTTCCAAAATTAATTTGACAATTGTTTCGGAATTAAGAAAGTGAATCTCCTCCAAAGATGTCAGCACAGTCATCCCTGTTGGTATCCATGGGGAATTGGTTCCATGACCCCTGTGATGTCAAAATATGCAGCTGCTCAAGTCTCTTATAAAAAATGGCATACTACTTACTTGTAAACTACACATATCCTCCCATATACTTTAAATAATCTTCAGATTCCTCGTAATACCTAACAGTATGAAATGCTGTATAAATATTTATACTATATTGTTTCACTTAATTATTATTTTGTATTGTTTTTCCCTATTATTTAACTTTTATTTTATTTTAGGTTTTTATTTAAGTTGTGAAGGTTATATAGGTAAACTTGTGTAATGGGGGAATGCTGTACAGATTATTTCACCACCCAGGTATTGAACCCGGTAAGTAATAGGTATTTTTTCTGCTCCTCCCCTTTCTCCCGCCCTCCTCTCAAGTAAGCCCCAGTGTCTGTTGTTCCCTCCTTTGCTTGTATTCATGAGTTCTCATCACTGAGCTCCCATTTATAAGTGAGAACATGTGGTAGTTGGTTATCTGTTCCTGTGTTAGTTTGCTAAGGAAAATGGACTGCAGCTCCAACCACATGCCCACCAAAGACATGATGTCATTCTTTATTGTGGCTGTATAATATTTCATGGTGTATATGTACCACATTTTTTTATCCAATCTGTCATTAATATTTCCCCAATATTTTTGATCTGCAGTTGGCTGAATCTCGAATATGAAATGTAAGAATATGAAGGACCAATTGTATCATAAAGAAAAAGGGCATGAATGCTGATTATAAATGCAGAATCTGATGATCACATCTAATTTTAGCTGTGAAAGAGAAGAAAGTCATCAACTTGAGTATTAAAGTCTCTGCTTTATCACATACCTTGATTCAAGAATATAAGGCAATTTTTTAAATAATTTTTAAGTTGAACTACTTACACAGCATTCCTGGAGGCTCCACAGGAAAGTAACAGCTTGACTATATCCATGTGCCCATTCTTGGCTGCATCGTGAAGTGGTGAGTCATTTTGATACCCAGTGGTGTTCACCAATGCCTTATGCTGGAGCAATAATTCCACTACCTTCAGGTGCCCATGATTGCAAGCTTCATGCTGATTACATTTTTGAAAAATAAGTGAAAGAAGTAATAAGAAAGAACAATGAATGATATTATATCATACTTTAGAAAAATATAAATGTCGGGACTCCAAGTTTGGGTCTTCTCCTATGACCACTCCCTTCGTGGAAGCTGTCTTTCTCTCTCCTGGATTTCCAGATCTCTGGACTCCCCTCCCACATAGCGGGAGCTCTCTTTCCCCTCCCAGATTTCCCCTCTGTGGTCCACTTCCACCCAGTGTGGAAGCTGCTTTTCCTCTCCTAAACTCCATCTCTCTCTGTCAATTCCCTACCACTCAGTGTGGAAGCTGCCTTCCCTCTCCTGGATTCCATCTTTCTGGATTCTCTCACTCAGTGTGAGGGGAGCTTTCCTTCTCCGGTTTTCCCCCTCTGGGAACCCTTCTCACTCAGTGTGAGAGCGGCTTTTCTTTCTCACACTCAGTGTGAGAGTTAGCTGTTTCTCTCTCCTTCTCCTTTTTCACCCTCTGCTTTAAATAAATCACTTTCTACGGAAAAAAAAAAAAAAAAAAAAAAGAAAAATGTAAATGTCAGGCAGTAAATTTACTGTTACCTAAATACTCATGAAGACTGTTAAGTTGTTGACAGAATGAAAGTTACTATTAACTGATCTTTCTGATAAAGATCTGTGTAATTCATGAAAAAAGAAAAGGCAATTCATTTGAGCCTTGGGTCAAGCACGTTTACTTTTTTTTTTTTTTTTTTTGAGATGGAGTCTCGCACTATTGCCCTGGCTGAAGTTTAATGGTGCAATCTTGGCTCACCCCAACCTCTGTCACCAGGGTTCATGTAATAATCCTGACTCTGCCTTCTGAGTAGCTGGGATTACAGGCACACACTACCATATCTGGCTAATTTATTTTGTATTTTTAGTAGAGACCGGGTTTCACTATGTTGGCCAGACTGGTCCCGAACTCCTGACCTCATGGTCTGCCTGCCTCGGCCTCCCAAAGTGCTGGGATTACAGGCATGAGCCACTGCGCCCAGCCCACTTTTTTTTTTTTTTTTTTTTACTAGAAAATGTAGCTTTAAACCAACTTTAGCTCCTTGTTCTACAATAAATTTAAAACATTAAAAAAAAGACTATGTATTTAATAACAAGATGATACATAAAAATCTGTACCAGTACATACACATATCATGCAACAAAGTATCTGTGAAGGAGTGCTTTGTTGAACCTACAGAGAGCTGTATGACTGCTGTCATTAATAAGAGAAATAACATGAGTAGGAATACAAAAAGGGCTTGCTGAATGACTGACCTGGTAACAATGGAATGTTCAAAGATGCCTTAGGTACAAATCTTTCCTTATGTTTAATGAACTACTAACAATTTGTATTCTACTAGATCTCTCGTATTCTATACTTTTTAAGTACATCTATTTCAATTCATAATAGGTGATACCACACTCAACATCTGTAGGTCTATTTTTAGGAGAAAGGAATCCTAATTAGGCATTAAACCCTCTAAATCACTAACCAATCTTTACTACAACTTGTTAGTAGCTTTGAAGAAAAAAAATTAACCTTTCTTTGAAAAGGTTAGCTGGCCAGTAGAGTCCAACCAGCAAAGTGACTGATCCAGACTAAACCGTCCCAGCTTTTTAATTTCTGGGCTGAATTTCTAGTTTACAGGATGAAGGCATCTACTTCATTTGCTGACATTTTTGTGGCTGCATTCAAATTTCACTTTTATTTTTCCTAATGTAATTAGCCTACGTAGCAATTGTTTCCAAGTATTTGTGTCATTCTGTTTCCAGATTATGCGTCACACTTTTACTAATAATAAGCAAAGACTTTTAAAACTGTTTAATGTAAGCAAAGATTTCTACTGCCTTATATCTCTGCAATTGGATAGGGTATAAGTGAGGCTGAGATAGACCCTCAGTAAGAATTACTTCCTTGTGATCACTTTCCTATACTCAGTTCCTCTGACCCCTTTTTGTTCCAAGAAATTTGGTTCCAGTGACATGCAGTGCTACACAATGGAGCCTGATGCCAGCTGTAGCTGTAATCTCCAGACATTAGCTAAATTCTGCAATATAGTACAAGTAGATTCCTAAATCTAGTCTGTCAAAAGGTAACCAATTTCTTGCCTGTCACAAATGAAAAGCTAGAAGGAAAATAATCATGTTCTCATACTTGATGAAAACATAAATTCTTCAGACTAAAAACAGTATATGTGGCAGAGGATGATATATAGACAACTACATAACTGTAAACTATAAGAACTATAAAACATAAAAAGAATGAGAATAAAAACCAGACAAATACCAATGGTGTCCATCCAGCATGGTCTTTAACATTTGGGTCACTTCCATTTTGTAAAAGGTATTCAACAGAAGGTATGTCGCCCTAGAAAAATGAACAAAATAGAAAGAAATTAAAAAGCATTAAGGAAAGAAAGGAAAATATTGAGATTTTTTAAATGCTATCTTCAAGATAAAGTAAAACTTAAATCATTGTCTCTTAAGGCTACTGTTCATAAGTGAATAAAGAAATCATTAGGCCAGGTGTGGTGGCTTACGCCTGTAATCCCAGTACTTTGGGAGGTCAAGGTGAGTGGATTATCTGAAGTCAGGAGTTTGAGACCAGCCTGACTAACATGGTGAAACCCCATCTCTACTAAAAATACAAAAAATAGTTGGGCATGGTAGTACCACCCCATAATCCCAGCTACTTGGGAGGCTGAGGCAGGCGAATCACTTGAGTCCAGGAGACAGAGGTTGCAGGGGGTGGAGATCATGCCACTGCACTCCAGCCTGGACCACAGAATGAGACTCCGTCTCAAAAAATAATAATAATAATAATAATAATAAAACAAAAAAAGAAATTATCTATGCATAAATTATTCTGAGATATCAAGAAATATGGTCATGCTTGAATACAGACTACCAAATCTATTAGCAAGCCATATTCAAAATTCATTTCATGGTAACAAATAAAGGACACTAGCTAAAGATCATCTGCTCATAATGAAGTTTTAAAAGCCATAATTTTATTTGTGAAAAAAACCATTTTTGAGTATATATGTCAATGGCTTCTGGGTATTGTTTAAAACAGACAAAACTGTTTAGCCCAGAAGACTACTCAGTGAAACCAAAGTTAAAGAACAGCCAAAAACTGTAATTTTATTGGCAGTTACTCCATCCTAATACATTCATTTAGTTTATATTCACCTTATTTTTCAACGATTTCTACAAAGCAACAGTTGCTCTGTTTAAAATGGCAGACGAGATCAGTAGCAACCTATTCAAACCAGCCCACGGAATCAGCATTACATTTTTATCCCCTGCCCCCTGCCCGGTTCAAGACTAAGATCACCACCCATTATCAACTGACTCTACAGGAAATAGAGCTTCTGCAAATCAGTGATGTAACCTTACAAATCTCTTCTAACAAATGGTTTTCAACTTCTCACTCTCTATTTCCCTATTCCAGTACTCTGGAGATCTACACAATGATGTTCTAACAGTAGCACACCAATGCAGTGGAGAGAGAAGGAAGATGAGGGTAAAGTAAGAAATACAATCACTTCACTTTAGAATTCACCACCTCTTTTTGAATGAGATGAAAAAGATCTGGGGAATAAGTGAATTAAAATAAGGCACAAGGCAAGGAAAATAAAGGCAGACAATATTAATTTGGCTTTTATAATATTAAGACATTATCAATTACTAAACAGCATTAAAATTAAAGTCCCTTTCCCAGTTTTGAACTTTCTGTGTCTTGTGTGTCATGATCCAACTAAATCCTACTACAAGTGAGTGGACCTTTAAGGTCACTTTAAAGCTGTCTTTTGAAGTAGGAAATAAAACAGCTTCCTTCTGCTGCGGGCCTCCAGTGAAGGTAGACTCTGGCAAAGGAGTTAAGTCTGGGGAACTGGTCTCAGGTAGTCTGCCCTCTCTCTCTCCTTTTTTATTCCTTTCCCTATAAGTGAGACACACAATCCTTCGGCTAATACCAAGGTCTCTTAAATTTTTCCCTTCATGTAATGTGGGAAGATCTGACATCTGCCTTTTATATTTAATTACATATTATGTTTTAAGTATCAGTTAACTCTTAAAGGCTTTTTAAAAATCTCTAGCTGTAAAATAAGAGATACCGCCCCTTTGTAAAATAATGTCAGGCTACAGGAAGAAGGAGGCATTTATGCCATGGGATGAAGGTAAAAATTTTCTTGAAATTACACTATTATCACCAGTCACTGCAAATATAACTACACCAGTTCTTTTAGAATAACAGGAGAGGGTACAATATCTAAGTCCATGAAGATTAAGACAAAAATAGCTAGCAGAGGGTACTCTTAAAAAAGACTGAAAAAAAGCCATAGATGACAGAAGTTACATATATAACACTGTGTTCAAAGAGTTTTGTGAAGTGCTTCTTTAGTGAATAAATCTCTCCCCTCCCACCCCTACCCCTAGTACTCTTTTCTGAAATGATTTTTTTCCTCTGTTGGTTTGACAATGCAGAAATCACTAATTCTCCTAACATTTGATTTTTTCTTTTTAAAAAGTTTTACTGACTGGGTGCAGTGGCTCACGCCTATAATCCCAGCACTTTGGGAGGACGAGGCAGGTGGATCATGAGGTCGGTGGATCACGAGGTCAGAAGTTCAAGACCAGCCTGGCCAACATGGTGAAGCCTCATCTCTACAAAAAATATAAAAATTAGCTGGGCCTGGTGGTGCACACCCGTAATCCTATCTACTTAGAAGGTTGAGGCAGAATTCCTTGAACCTGGGAGGCAGAGATTGCAGTGAGCTGACATCATGCCACTGCACTCCAGCCTGGGTAAACAGAGTGAGACTCCATCTCAGAAAAAAAAAATGCTTTTTATTTCTAATTGTCTCTGTTTCCATGCTCTGGGTGCTTCTCAAATATAGCAAATCTTCAGTTTTCTAAAAAAGTAAATCCACATGCAACATATATTTTTATACTCCTAAATTAACAAAATTACCATAAATGCTCGATGGGCCTAAAAGGATCATAGGTTTCAAATCAATTGCCCCAGTTTCAAGGAAAAAAATTTAAAAAGGAATATTTTATTATACTTCTAGAGGAAGTTATCATATATTTAGCAACTGGAATGCAATGGCATAGCTCACTGTAACTTCAAGCTCCTGGGCCCAAACAATTATCCTGCTTCAATCTCCTGAGTAGTAGCTGGGACTACAGGTATATACCACGAAGCCTGGCTTATTTTTTTATTTTTTGTAGAGATGGGGGCCTGTGTTGCCCAAACGAATGGACTCAAGCAATCTTCTGCCTCAGCTTCCAGAATAACTGGGATTACAGGTGTGAGCCCCTGCAACTTTTGCTTTATATTCATATCAGTTACAAATGAATGCAGGAATATCTGTCAAGATACAAATTTGATTTTTTTCAATAACAATCCTGTAAAAAGTGAGCAGATAAACCACCAGAACCACACACATTCCCTATGTTCAACATGAAAGTACTCACACACAAAAAAACTTTCTCAAACATTTCCCCATTCTAATTCTACGTGGTAATGAAAAAACATATTAAAGAAGATCAAAAAATAATATAAACACAATTGTGAAATGGAAGAGTCTCATGGGAATAGTCAAACAGAAACAGAGTGACAATTTAAAGAATAAACGTAGACTCTCTTTCAAGGTTGCCAGACCGTTGCTATTTTTCTTACATGTCACCTCTTCATATTATCAAAGTGTCTTCTGTTAACATTCTACCCACCTCTTGAACTGTATAGCTGATTCGCAAACGGCCTGCTTTTTACAACCAATCTGCTTTCTCCTCTCTAGTACTTGAAAGTTTGTCGTATTTTCATCTTTCTACTTCATGTAAATTTAATGTCATGCTCATAAATAAAATTATGATAATTAGATAGAGTCTACAGTAACTGGATGTGCTTGAACTGATACAAAGTAGCCAGGAAATAAATTAACTTTTGATTCTGGCTTCTTTCAATTAGTTTCAAGTACTCATTTTTGGGCTCCTCACAACTTGAAAGAATAATTAAACTTTTCTTAAACCATAGCAAAAAAAATTTATCTCAGGAAAGTATTTGCCAAGCCTTACTAAAAATGTTAAATGAATTTGGTATTTTCAAGTAATACACTGAAGGCTGAAAATAAGAGTCTTTATGAGTGTGTCCCACTGAATCTTTTATTGCTAATTTTTCAAAGGAAAGATCCTTCACACATTTGTACATACTACAGATCCACGCATATTCCAGCAATATAAATTAAATTCCCAAAAACACACATAACAAGAACAAAACTTTTTCCTTGTGATAAAGGTTAGCTCTTCTTTCTTAAAGACAATACAGAACATTACAAGTAAGTACAAGACAAATGACTTTCCCAGCATGGTTAAGCTTTTCCATGTAAATGAACTGGCCAGGAACCTAAAACTTCCCTTCTTCGCAAAAGATGCCATTAAAACAAACAAACAAAAATTAACCATCTGGAATGAAGCTCTAAAAATGTTAAATATTTCTCTGGCTTCTTAGTCAGAATTTACTGAATAAAATACAGGGATACCTCGGAGATATTGTTGGTTCAGTTCCAGACCACTGCAATAAAACAAATATTGCCATAAAGCAAGACACACGAATCTTTTGGTTTCCCAGTGCATATAAAAGGTATATGTACACTATATTGTAGTCTACTAAGTGTGCAATAGCATTATGTCTTAAAGAAAATGAACAGACGTTAATTTAAAATAACTGTATTGCTAAAAAATGGTGACAAACTTTTTGCTGGTGGATGGTCTTGCCCTGATGCTGCTGGCTGCTGACTAAGCAAGCAGGTGGTTGTTGAAGGTTGGGGTGGTTGTGACAGTTTTGTTTTGTTTTTTTAAAGATGGAGTCTCACTCTGTTGCCAGACTGGAGTGCAGTGGTGTGATCTCTGCTCACTGCAACCTCCAACTCCAGGGTCCAAGCAATTCTCCTGCCTTGGCCTCCCAAGTAGCTGGGATTACAGTCACATGCCACCACAACCAGCTAACTTTTGTATTTTTAGGTGAGAAGGGGTTTCGCCATGTTGGCCAGGATGGCCTCGATCTCTTTACCTCGTGATCCACCCACCTCAGCCTCCCAAAGGGCTGGAATTACAAGTGTGAGTCGCCACGCCCAGCCAACAGTTTCTTAAGACAACAATAAAGTATGCCACATTGACTGACTTTATTTCATGAAAGATTTCTCTGTAGCATGTGATGCTGTTTGGTAGTATTTTATCCATGTAGAACTTCTCTCAAGATTGGAGCCAATCCTCTCAAATCCTGCTGCTGTTTTATCAACTAAGATTAAGTAATTTTCTAAATCCTCTGTTGTCATTTCAACAATGTTCACAGCATCTTCACCA